GTGTGTGTGAGTGTGAGAGAGAGAGTGTGTGTGTGTGTGTGTGTGTGTGTGTGTGTGTCATGCCAGCTTCTGTGGCTATTTTTATGGCAAGAAAAAATTGTATCAGATCTATTTTTGCTTAAAACTCTAAAATTATATATGGTTTAATTTACCAGCACTTGTGTAATATAACATGTTTAGGTATAAAGTGTTTTTTTTGTTGTTTTTTTTACAAAAAAAACTCCTTGAATGGAAGAACTTTTCTCCAAACAATGGGATTTATTACATCGAGTCTGTTCGTGATAAATGCAAGTTATTATAAAAGTACTCTTGATATTTATTCTGGTTTCATACGGATTTGAAAAACTTTTCCAGAAAAGTTTCAATTTAATGACTCCAAAAATGCCATGTAGTATAACAATCAAGTAAAAATAAATAGATAAAAAGTAAAAGGTTGGACACATCCTAATCATTTTTCAAAAAGCAGAAAGTATTGTTTACAAATATCAAGAATTATTAATTGCACCATATTAACTTTAATTACTTTGTCTTGTCATAAAAGGTCAAAGTTTTTTTTCTCTTATATTTGTAGACATATATATATATATAAATGAAAGATCATGCGTTTTTATTTATAATAAAATCATGACAGTTGTATAAACTTAACATTTCTTTCCTTTATGCCCTAAGTAAAATATCAGTTATTTTTAATTCACTGATAAATGCATTAACATATTTAAGAAAAAAAAAAAAAGTAAATACTCACCATAGCTTGCTCTATTTTGTTATCAATGGCCACAACACTGGCGCCAGAGGCACTGCAGAAAGAAAACAGACTATGCTTTAAAAAAAAAAAAAAAAGAAGAGTTTACATTGGGATCTCTTCTAAGGAATATTTCTGTCAAGTCCTGTCAGGCTCGTTGCATCATATCGGTTAAATCACACTTCCAACTAACTAGCTGCCAACTATGCCTGCACAGAATGGTACATTTAGATGACATTTCCTTGTTGTGCTTATCAGCAGGTATCATATAAAATCATACAGGTGTTGAGTGCTGCGAGATGAGATAGAAATCAGGCTTGCACACACTCCACATCCAAAACAACCTGCCAATATTATATTCCATTACGCATACGGAAATAGATCCAGAATGTGTGCATAAACAGTTAAGTTATGAAGGTATAACTATTGCAAAGTACAAACATTTACAACAAAACTACCAATAGACAGAACTAAATATCAAGTGAAAGTAGCAATTATTAACAAAAACCTTGGCCAGAAGGGAAAATAAATACTGTGAGTGGCCGTTCACACAGAACGCGTTCTTGCTTACCATCAATGAAAACGCGCGTCAGGCCGTTGCGTCGCGTGTTGTGCGATGAACGCTGCGTTTTTATGACCAGTTAAAAGCAGTAAATCTTTTTTAAACCCTCCTCGAGACCCTCGAGATCAGTTTTACTCTTTCTGTTCTGTCATTTGGTTGCGCAACAACGCTGCGTGAACGGCTGCTTAGATTTCTACCATCAAAACAATCGATAAACTGATAATAAATAATTATACTCCGCTTAACAAACACCGCGCACGCGGAAGAGTTTTAGTATAACGTACAACCTGCACGTTTTTAGATGCATTCATATTAATGAACTCAAACGCTGCGTAACGTTACATGTCCTTAGGCTTATTCCGCAACACAACACAACATTCACTAATCTCACATAATAATGTCACATCATAAACCCACATTTAACACAAACGTTTTCACAACAATGATACATAACTAAGAAAACTAAGAAACGAAGCGTCTTTTCAGAAAAGTCACCCAAAGCACATCAGAATGCGCTCAAGAGTTTATCTCGGGAAAATAATAAAAGGCATCGCGTTTCAATCCTGTTATAAATTCATAACGTTTACCTGCATCGTGCTCTGCATGATAACAACCTCCCAGAATATGCAGGAGAGGAGCCAGGAGAGTATGGCAGGCAATAACTCATCTTGCAGCGCATGTTGGTAATCGTTTAGTCTCAGACACACAAGTGTGTTAGTAGTAGAGGCGCTCTTCAGGATTTAAGCAATCTGTGCTCTCAGGGGGCGTGGCCGGCGAGTGACATCACCCGAGAGGCGGGGCCACGCATCAGCAAGCCGCTCGTGTTTCCTCGTCTGTGATTGGGAGTTGTCTTATTAAAGTTTATATCATACAAACGACTTTTTAATGCTTTCAAAGCAAACATTTTAGGAAACGGTCAGGAAGATTTCGAAAATACATTATTTGAGTGATTTCTGAAGGCTCATGTGACACTAAACGATGCTGGAAGTTACATTTAAAAAAATTTTTTTAAATAAAACCGTTATTTTAAATTGTAATAATATCTCACAGTATTACTGCTTTAGTATATTTCTGAACAAACAAATGCAGCCTCGGTAAGCAGAAGAGACTTCTTGGATCAACAAATAAATACATAACCCTTAATTATTCAAAATTTTTGACTGGTAGTGTATATGAAGAGTTCAGATGCAAAAGCCTCTAAGTGCTATCTGAAATTTTCATCTAAAGGGTCTGAATACTTTCCGTACCCACTGTATATATATATATATAGCTAGCTATTATTTACAATGGAAAGGCAGATCCGCTTTGACTAATTATGCAAATACTTAACATGCACAAACCTGAAATCAATTATAAATTGGTTAAAAGTGAACAAAAAAGCATTCCTTGAATTTTAAACTCTTTATATTAGAATTAGTCCCTAAACGAATACAAAAATGTATTCAACACACAAAAAAGGTCATTACTTGAGTGTTTTTCAATAAGAAATGCGTTAGGTAGTGCATTCAAGGACGATGACCGCAAAGAAGTCACCAGCCTCCAATTTAATTTTGGGTACTCGGTGGTCACAAAAACAAGCTTAAGCTTTTTTTCTAGGATGCGTGTGCTTTCTAGATCTTGTTCTCTGTCGTCCTTACCAGGGATCGTGAACTGGATCGCAGGCACGTCAAACAGACGTGTACATGCAAACCGACACATGCCACTGCAGATCATAGGTCTCCCAAACCGCATCAAGTGTCCTTAAATTTCACAACCTGCGCAACTAACGCATTCCTTCAGGCGCTAAACTAAATCTGAAAAAAAAAAGTGCTGTCAAAATGAACAGACTTATCCTAGACTACAAGAATCTTCCATTATCAGATACATTCATGTGTAAAACTATTTCATGAATGTATTAGCATGAAAAAGCAGTCACTTCTGCACTCCTCTCAGATGTCTCTTAAATTAGACCGAGTCAAAAAGGTGTGAAAGCTGCAATTAAACCCAAATGGATCAAGTTGTCCCTGGTGTCCACTGCATCTGCTCTAAACTGGTGGCAACACCTGCTTGTCGTCAAATAGTTGCATCAGAATAGTGCATGCTAGTCTATATATACACCAACTGACCGCTGAATTCAAAACTGTTTGCCTAAATATGACCTTTAGGAAACAATTCCTACACTTTCTACGATTCTTGGGGCACCATTTCCACAGGATCCAGAATTCGCAGGAAACTATTTAAAAAAATATATATATCTTGATCAAAATTCAGTTAAATTCACTGATATCCCACTAACTCTTGGCAGAAAAGGCAGTTCCTTAACTTGGAAATAAGATTCTTATCTTTCAATAAAGTGAATATCAACAAGAGTGTGCCATGGAAAAATAAAAATGTGACCCTGGAGCACAAAACCAGTTATACGGGTCAATTTTACGAAATTGAGATTTATACATCAGCTGAAAGCTGAATAAATAAGTTTTCCATTGATGTATGGTTTGTTAGGATAGGACAATAATTGGACGAGATACAACTATTTGAAAATTTTGAATCTGAGGGTGCAAAAAAATCTAAATATTGAGAAAATCGCCTTTAAAGTTGTCCAAATGAAGTTCTTAGCAATGCATATTACTAATCAAAAATTAAGTTGTGATATATTTACGGTAGGAAAATTACAAAATATCTTCATGAAACATGATCTTTACTTAATATCCTAATGATTTTTGGCATAAAAGAAAAATCGATAATTTTGACCCATACAATGTATTGTTGGCTGTATATGAAAGAATACATGAATGCAACTTTAAATAGTCACTACACTTGCAAAGCAGGTGTAATTTTCAAAGTTAAAGAAACAACCTGTAACGTGTTTCTTGTGCATCATGTACTTTTTTTCTTTTTTAAAGGGGTCATATGATGCTTTTTTTAAAGATCATTATTTTGTGTATTTGGTGTAACAGAATATGTTGACATGCTTTAATGTTAAAAAAACACATTATTTTTCAAATACTGTACATTATTGTAGGTCCTCTATGCCCCGCCTCTCTCAAACGCTTCGTTTTCTACAAAGTCCCTCCTTCCGACAAGCGCAGTCTGCTCTGATTGGCCAGCTGACCCAGTGCATTGTGATTGGCCGAACACCGCAAGCACTCGTCGGAAATGTAACGCCCCTTACCATAATCGCGAGCTTCATCTTTCAAAATAAATGTAAAGACAGAGCCCGAAAGGGGAACAGAGTCGCGTGACAGACACAGTGATGAAGCTGGTATGTGTTTGCAGTACACAAGCCACGGTTAAGACAGCTGCCTCCACTGTGATCTCTCTCTCACTCTGTCACGCGCACGCACGCACGATGCGCAAAACTCCGCATTTGAACAGTCAATAGCAAATACTTAAACTAATAACAAAACAGTAGCTGATTCAGAAGTGCCAGATTGTCATAGCAAAGTCAGAATTACCTCCTCTCCTAGGTTCATGAAACGGTCGTCCATAAAATGCATTGCTGTTCTGTTGTAAGTAATCTTAATGCATCTACTTTCGGAAGGCCAAATATAGTGCTTTTGCTTTCGCCTAGAAACACAGCGTCTCCCTGACATGTTGCTTCAACACTAACTGCGGTTACTGAAACCATGCCTTCTTTCTTTGCGTGCACATTTGGGCGGCATTAAGCAAATATTTTCACATAGTGAGGTAGATATGTGGGGTGTGTTAGAACGAGCCGTTTTAGGGGGGCGTGGCAGAGTCTTAACTTTGATAAAGAATATCTCTTTGGTTTTGAGACTTTAGTCTTTGCAACTTCAGGGATCTTATCTATGCACAATCAGCTTGTAACACTCCAAAGAGAAAGGAAAACTTGAAATCGCATCATATGACCCCTTTAAAAGTTAGTTTGCACATTTTTGTTAAATCAAAATGCTGAATTCACTAATCAGTCATTTACTGGAGGTTTAGTATTGATGAGCCTATGAATGAATCATGTAGTTCTTGCAAGTTTTGTCAATATCAGTTGACATGACAAAATCTTATTACCCCATTCTCAACAACCACACAGTATGGTTTATGCGTATGACGTCAAATCTATCTGCATGTTGCATCGTGACTAGCAAAACACACACACTTGAATTCCAGTCTATTCCAACTGATACTTGCCCACAAATGGGGAAACTCATTTCTTAAGAAAAGAACCTGGTATTAGTAAAATTGATAGACGTGGAGAGGAACACGTACAAAAAATATTTTGAACTCTGAGGGTATTTTGGCTATATCTGAAAACGTGATATTTCCATCTTAAGTGCAAACAAGTTTTAAAAAATGTTTCCGCATGGTTAAGTTGGCTGGTGTTTTAACGCCATGCCTTGGCCATTTTCATGGTGAGTAACATGGTGAAACACTATAAAACTGCACATTTTAAAAAACCTTTGGATAACAACTCTAAAATGCATTTAATGTTGACTGTTCTCAAAAGTTCTCTTTGCAGGGTAATACAATGACAAATGAAGAGATACTGGACTCTGTCG